AATTCATCACAACCTTCCGCTCTTAATTCTCCTATATTTCAGACAATTTTTGTGAGTAGCGCAGAAGCAGTTTTAGCTATCTCTATCATTACAAATTCCTTGATGTCACCATTGATATCATATACCATAATTACTTTACTAATTCTTGCAATTATATGGATCGCAGGAAAAAAAATATAGGATTAGAGGCTGAAAGAAAAAAGTAATACCTTTTCTAACTGAAACCATTTTTTATCGTCTCTGGGTATTTCTGATGCTGAGCTGTATAATCAGAGGCTAGAAGATCGAATATAGAAATTGAAGTTAGCTGGTATTATTACATGAGAAAAAATATATAAATAATATTATATGACGTATCTTACGACTAAGTTTTCTTAGCTTAGATTACCAGACCTCGCTAAGAGTACTTATCTATATAATTCAATGATTTTATCTATATCTGCTTCAAATGAATCATTTTTTTTTACCTTCCTGTGATAATGCTCGATAGTGTGTAATTTCTAGGCCAACCATTTTGTACCATATGTTTCAGAAATCTGCTAGTAACTTACACTCATCCAAATAATATGATGTTAAATATTGTTCTAAAGACATTACTCACTTCTTAGTAACTAATTTATACATACTGTCTCTATACTCTATATCAACCTCGGAAATTTCTTTAAGCAATGATAAAAGTTTTAAGCGGATGGATTCTTCTTGCTTATTTAATGCATTGAGGAATGATTGGTAATAAGCATTCTTAGTCAGGTTTTCTCCCTTGTCAGCATAAATAGTATCAAATATTTTTTTCACGTAAATGCGTGCCCTTTTTCATAAATGGGTTATGATAGTTTTATCTTTTTTTAGACTATCATGTAGGTTTTTGATATACACCCTAATCTACTTTTCAGCCGATTTCTGCGCTATGGCATCTCTTATTTTTGATATCTTATTTTTATCCATTTTACTTTCATTCTCTTCATCTTCATCCAGGTCGTCTTCATTCATCCCACCGTCATCCGCTTTATTGTCACCCACTTTATTACCATCTTTTAACTTTTTTAAGACCCTGGCACAATTTCAGATGACGGCTGGTGTCTTTCATCATAGTTAATAAATTATGCACAGAGGCCGACAACAGTTTTCTAATATCGATCTTTTTACCTAATCACCTCACTATCTCTGGATACTCCATTTTATCTCCTATCCTCTGTGACGAATCATTCTCAACTACAATATACTCAAAGCATTCGCCTGATTTTGGGATTTCATAAAGATAAGGCTCAGGTGTTAGGTCCTTTTTTATGCACCGTTTGGCATCTGCTTCTTCACGGGTGTGTTTATCTCACATTCATGAAATGAAACGCTGGATACTTTTGTTATTTTTATCAGACTTCCATACAGCAGTTTTAATCACTCCATTAAGATCTATCCGTGAAATATCATTTATGGTCTCTTTAAACACGTCCTCCACAATCCGATGCAAGGTGCGTATATTATCTAGCCTCATAGATTCTTCTATAACTTTCTTACCTACCTTACGAAAGTGTTTAGACTGCTCCTGCTTTACAACCTCAACTTTCCAAATGAAAAACTCTTTGTTAAAGTTCAGCTTGCTTTCATGTGAAATACTGTAGTATTTTTTCTTTCCAGTAAATACTACCAGAAATAGGACTTTCTCATATGTCATTTTAAGATATGATGATTCATTATCTTTTCTAAGAAAGTCATTAACTTCATCGCGAAGTTTTTCCATCACGCCTATAGAGATATTCACTATTTTAGACTAATATTCTTCTTTTGAGATCCCATTACTACTGTTATATGCCTTATCGCATTCTTGAAAGCACCTTTCTGGAGGAACTAGATACAATGAATCAGTATCACCATATTTTATCTGAAAATCCCTACTTTTAACGAAGTCTGCAACAAGTTTGATATTTCTCTGTCTAGCTGATGTGATGCCTCTAGCCAGTGCTCGCAAGAAGAAGAGAGATTTACTATCTCCAGTAGTGTTATAAAATGTATTCATGTATACCTTAAGAGCATATTATTTCGCATCTAAGCAAGAGCAGTCGAAACAAATAGAATCATATTCTGCTATATATTCATGTTTTTTCTTATTAATAAAATGATATAAACTTTTGCTAAGGCTGGCACGTTTTTTTTCTTTGTATTTGCTAAAACTTGCTCAATAGCTCCTGGTAATAATAAACCTTTATTTATTAAACCAATTACCAGATCCATGTTTTTCTTTTTCTCTTTCAAAGGAACAAGACGTTTTTTCATTTCATTCTGTTTTCTAGATAAATATTCTAACACAATGGCATAGAGACCTTTTTCTTTGGGGATGTTATTATGTTGGATAGACCATGCGAGACAATCCTGATTATTGAATTTAAAACTAATTTTGTGGAGTTTTTTACCACTTTGTTCAACACGCTCTCAAGATAAAATGATTTATTGGGCGAGAGGTTGTATGTCATGATAAGACTTGGATACAAAGATGCAAAGTCTAAGCCAGTTATAAGATATTTATTTTCGAACCCTTTATTGGTGAGAAGACATATGCTTCCAGAAAGCTTTCAGATTCTGTTTGTTCGCATGATATAGTTAAAAGCCCTCTTTGCCATACACTAGCACCCAAAAGATTACATACTTTCATTCCTCCTGCGAAATAATGTGCATCATATAATTATAAGAAAGATATAGACACTACCTCTCTATATTTATTAATTACATTGCGCTTGACTATTAATCACTGATAACTAAGAGCATCGATAATACAGTATTTGGCCACTTCACGCATCTGCTCAATTGTTATGACATTTGTTTCTTTTAATGCCATTTCATAATATTTGTTCATGCAGTGAATAGGTAAATTCACTTTATTGTCAAGATTATACTCCCTTAAGTAATATGCAAGACTACTTTTTTTGGATTTAGAATATAATCCTATAAAACAGAACTGGACATCAATAGTCACACATCCTGGGATTTTAAAATGTTTCAAATAGAAGTTCCTATTGTTTACTTTTATCATATTATACTGATATTGCCATTTTGTAATTTTTTTCAGACGAGTCGGCTTCGGTTTAAATAACATATGATTGAACATCCATTCGATCACCTCTAATTTATTAGCTTTCTCTACAATAAATCTTCAGTCGTATTGAGAATCATTAAAGTCTATATGTATATTCAGAGCTAAAAGTTTCCAATACAAGGCAAATACTTTTAGTAAATTAGTCTGAAATCCACATATAACTGTAATCAATTGTGGATCTAATGCTATCTTGACATCAACAAGACAAATTTGTTTTAACAGTTCAGGATCATCTTTCCAATGAACTGTCATGCAAATCATGAATACAACATCTTCTTCGAAATTTGCATTGGATGCTCCACCCATTCTTCATAAACTATATATTTCGATATCCCACATAAGAACAAGGATACAATCCTATGAAAGGGTCGAGAAGAATGATGAATTATTATAATCATCCTCACTTGTTGAATTGTAATTATTCACAAAAACTTAGAAGTAATAAGTACTCACTTGAATATATTCGTGGAAATAATTACTTAACGTTGCCCAACTTGAAAAAGGTAATCTTTTTTCACAAGCTACTTTACGGTAATAATATATTAGGATTAGATCATCAGAAGCTGTACAGATACTGACTTCATGAATTGCCTTTAACGCATTATACCAGTCAAATTGATTCCAAGTAATAACACGTATATATGATTTTTTCACTGTATGATACCCTTGAAGTGGGAAAGCACTAATATTCTCGATCCCAAATTTTGATGTACCTTTGAGAGTATTGGATAATATATTTACTAATCTGATCTTAAACGTAGATAGTGGTATATCTTCAAGAACTTTGACATCAAAAAAGGGTCAGATGTCTGTAATATTTACGACTGCTTTTTGTCTATTAATCAAGCAACCACTAATGCACAAAATATAAGTAGAGACCCCATTTATATATTTGGTATCATCACTAACTTCAGTAGACATGAAATATATGGATTGCTTGTCGGATAGGCTTTGTTGAAGTATAGCAGTCATCCCGTTATCATATTCTGCTATGATCTCATTATGTGATGGAATGCTAGCTAAAAATTTGACACTGTCATAGCGGGCGAGAGTTCTGCGATCAGTTTGGTCAGAAATAGTTGAGGTACGTATGTCGACAGTAGGTAAAACTTTATATACTCTAATATAATTTTGAAATGTTTAATTAATTTTTTTGATAAATGTAAAAAAAGACGTATATTAAGCTAGAAAGTAAATCATAAATAAAAGATAAGCGAATATACAACTGAAAGTGAAGCCTTCTGCGTATTCTATTATATAAATATTAGCAGAAGGCTTCATTTTTTTAGATATGTATTTAGGTGTGGCATAAAAGCTACATCTCAATAATATGTATCTAGGTATAGTATAGCCTTTGCGTAAGACTTATCCTTCTTAGATATGTACTCAGATATAATATGAAGGCTTCTTTGAAAATATTATATAAAATTATGGAAGAAGACTACCCTAACACTAGTATGTATTTAGGTGTGACATAAAGGTTACATCTTGATAGTATGTATTTGGGCATATGTGGTATAAGTATTCTGCGTATTCTATTATATAAATATTAGCAGAAGACTTATACTTTTTTAGATATATACTTAGATATGATATAAATAGGCCGACCATGATAATACATATCACATCTCCAACATCAGACGTAAAATTGGCATACAAGCTAATAAGCAAATTGTAAATAAAAAGCAAGCAAATATGTAATTGAAAGTGAAGCCTTCTTCGTAATCTATATATAAAATAATGGAAGAAGGCTTCATTATTCTAGATATGTATTTGGGTATAGGAGACTTCTCATTGACGCAAACTAGCTATACAATTTTGGGCCTGGTCAGAATCAATATATTCTGCCTATACTTGCAATCGAAATTGGCATACTTATACCAGCCATTAAGAAGAAAGGCATCCAGATGCATCAAAATGTGTAACCTTCTTCAGAAATATTATAATGTATAACATCTATACTCATCAAAGGAGTCTGAAATTTTTTTGCAGATCTTCATGTGACTTGATCACGTAAATTGATTTTTATTGGTCTAAAAATAATCATTAGACATTTTAAAAAAAAATTTATTTATTTAATTCTTCTAAATCTTCTAAAATACTATCTAGAATTTTTCTAAGTGATTTGTATTTCTTAACAGCATATTCTGCTAATTTTCCACTAATACCTTTTTATAAGCATCTATATAATGCTAACATTTTCTTGCAAATTTTTTAATTGTAATTAAAGGTATTGAGTCAAGGATTTTAGTACAACTTTTTGTAATCCATTCCATAAATATTTGCAATTTTCTCGTGCATATCTTTTACAAGCTCCCCAATATCTTTCAATGAAATTTAATTCACAATGAAATTTAGGGTAAAAAATACACATATGATTAGCCTTTTCAATTAATTCTTCAATTGCTCCTTTTTGTGCAAGAAAATCAGGTTCTAAAGATATTACTCGACGAGCACAACAAGAAATTCTTAAAGGATCATGAACTTTTTCTTTACAATTTTTACATTCTAATATTAATCCTTCAGATGGCCATTTTTCTTGTTCTATTAATACTTGTTTAATTCCTTTTAGTTTACCTTGAAGTTTTTCATTATGATGTGTGGCTGAAAATACTATTGATTGCAGCTGTTGATTTAGTCTAAAATAAGTATCATGTATAATTAGTTGCTTGCCACCAGGATTTAAATTCATTTGGCTTGCAACTAAAGCATCTTTTCCAAAAGCAGCATGATTAGAACTATTATCTAAGGCAAATACTGCTACACAATTTGAATACAATGTCTCAAAAATAGGAATAGCTTTATATTTGATTTGTTTAAGAAGATGATCAGCTGTCCAGTAACCTTCTTGATTTTTACCAGGTTTCAAATAGCATCGTGCTTCTTCAGGTATATTTGAATTTTGTAATATATCTGCTTGTTGTAAACGCAAACGTCCATTAATTCAGTAAGAAACTCACTGACTATTATAGATCTTCCATTCCCTTTTTTTCATAGTGACAGTTCTCCATTTTTGGCCTAAATTTCACGTTTACCATCGTTAGAATAAAAAATATACTCATTATGAGTTACAAGAATTTTTTTCTTTTTTTTTTCAGATAAGTTGGGATATATATGATCCATTGTTTCACCTTTATACTTAGATATATATTTCTCATATTCAAACATTTTTTCTAAAAATACTTTACGATATTGTAAAACATCATCTCGTTCGTGTTCGTCATAATATATACCTTGATGATGTTATTGAAATGAATAACCAAAAATATTAAGCCATCTTGTTGCAGTCATTAAAGAAATAATTTTTTTTTTGTAATTCCGATATCAGGCAATAGTTTTTGTTCAACAAATTCTTTAAATGTAGCCAGCGTGCCTTGAAATTTTGCTTATGAACTCAAATTCGACATTTTTTAGCTATATCTTCATCATCAATTAATCTAATAGTTTTTTGATGCTTTTCATGTTTAGATGCTGAAGTTTATTATTATGTAATCAGTAAGTTGCATTATATCAGATATGTCGCACTTTCTATAGACCACCATCAACAAAAACGATTTTAGCTGTCTTTAAACTAGCATGCATTTTTCCATTATTTAAGTGGGTAAGATATTCATAGATAGCTCTTTTTTGTTATATTTGGTAATGGTCATTTTATCATGTTGTTTTTCTAATTGTTCTTTTAGATTTCATATTCTTTTATCAATTTGGTAAGTATCTTTATTGCTGATTTCATTTTCCGAATTACTCAAAATTTCATCAGATTGTATAATTGTAGCTTGATTACTAACTTTAAAAAAACTTATAATTTTTTTAGTATTAACAGCTGCCTTGATAAATGAACCGGTTGGTTCATATTTTTCATAATAACTTGATTTTGAAGTCTTTCTTGTCATATATCAACCACATTTTATTTTTTCTAATTCACTTTCTTCCTTTCACTCTAATTTAATTTCTTTGTTTTTTAGGTTTTGTATTTCTTCAGTAACATCATCTCCATCATTATCATCCCAACCACTATCTTTGTCATCATCCCATTCTTCTTCACCAAATTTTTTCTTATCAAAGAATTCCAAATTTATACTAATATCACTTTTATCCACGGTCTTACCATCACCAGAAGTATCAAACAAACAACCATCACCATAAGGATTAGACGAACTACCATTACCAGAAGCACCAAAACGAACAACCATCACTATAAGAACCAGATGAACCACCATAACCAGAAGCACTAAACGAACCACCATCACCAGAAGCACTAAATGAACCACCATTACCATAAGGACCAGATGAACCACCATAACCAGAAGCACCAAACAAACCACTATCATCAGAAGCACCAAATGAATTACTATCACCATAAGGACCAGATGAACCATCATCACTAGAGGCACTAAATGAACCACTGTCATTAAAAGAACCAAACGAACCACTATTATTATGAGACGTAGTAACTGCAATAACTGTGCCATAATGACTAACATTTTTTTTACAATTGTTGTTAATTAAAATTGAGGATTCAGGTTGATTTTAGTTATCTGTACTTGGATATCGTGCTTTTTTAATATTAAATTTACCATCTACAGTGCATTTTTGGTTTTTTGATTTTCTTTTTTGCTTAAAAAGAGGTGGCATTTTTAATACAATAAAAAATAAATTGAAACGCGTTCAAGATAATGGTTTAATGCAAAGCGCGTAATTAGTTTTA